TGTGTGTGTGTGTGTGTGTGTGTGTGTGTGTGTGTGTGTGTGTGTGGGGTGAGCTCAGGTCAAAGTCAAATTTTAGCATCATTTAAATAAAACCTTCAGTTGTTTGTTTTCTCTTCGGGGCTCAGCTGCTCGTCTCTATATGAGCTGTTGTATAAATGAAGTCTCCTCCACCATGTTTCAGGTTTTTATGTGTTACAGTCAAAATGTCTGCCAATCACACACACACACACACACACACACACACACACACACACACACACACACACACACGTATGTATGGGTGGAAAGTTTTTACTGATTTGGTTTGAATAAATCTGTTTGTATATTTGTTTACTGTGTCATTTGATTTCCTGTAACGACGATGCTGTTTGAGGGTTGTTTTATTTCTGTTATTCATTTGTGTGGTTGTGTTGAAGGAGAGGTGAAGAGAACACTGCAGCACACAGACAAACTACAGGCGAGACAGCTGATGTGATGGTGGTTTATAAACGCAGCAGTCTGGAGTGAGAGAGTGGAGCTGCTCTGTCAAAGCACGCCGCTCGCTCTACGTTTGAAACTCGAGCAAAGCTTGGCTCAGATGTCAGACGCTGTACTGCGGTCATTAAGATTCAGCTGGGCCCGGTCACTGAGCCACACCTGTACACTTTTAGCTGTTGCATATATGAGAGAATGATGTTAGTTGTACAATGAATATGTGCTGCCATCTATACCAGCTAACCTGTCCCACGTTTTCAGGCCCACACACCTGACCATTTGTGTTTTGGTTTGTTGTTTAGAAACTTCAGATAAATCATGCAGAAGTTAAATTGTTCAAAGGAATATGAATATAAAGCACTGTATACACCATCAGCACCGGCTCCCCTCAGGGCTGTGTTCTTTCTCCTCTGCTCTTCTCCCTGTACACCAACTGCTGCACCTCCACCCACCAGTCTGTCAAGCTAATCAAGTTTGCAGATGACACCACCGTTATTGGACTCATCTCGGACGGGGATGAGTCTGCCTACAGGAGGGAGGTTGAACGTCTGGTGTCCTGGTGCAGCCACAACAACCTGGTGCTGAATGCCCAGAAGACAGTGGAGATTATTGTGGACTTCAGGAAGCACACAGCCCCACTCCCCCCCATCATCCTGACTGACACCCCCATCACCTCTGTGGACTCATTCCGCTTCCTGGGTACCACCATCACCCAGGACCTGAAGTGGGAGCCCACCATCACCTCCGTCATCAAGAAAGCCCAGCAGAGGATGTACTTCCTGAGGCAGCTGAAGAAATTCAACCTGCCAACACGGACGATGATGCAGTTCTACACTGCAATCATCGAGTCCATCCTCACCTCCTCCATCACCGTGTGGTACGCTGGAGCCACTATCAGGGACAAACAGAGACTGCAGCGTGTTGTGCGCTCTGCTGAGAAGGTGATTGGCTGCAGACTCCCATCTCTGCAGGACCTGTACACCTCCAGGACACTGCGGCGTGCAGCTCGGATCTCAGCTGACCCTTCTCACCCTGGACACAGTCTGTTTGACCTGCTCCCCTCAGGCAGGAGGCTCCGGTCCATTCGCACCAGAACCTCTCGCCATAAGAACAGTTTCTTCCCCTCTGCTGTTGGACACATGAACAATAACCGTACGACTGTTCCCACCACTAACACATGACCCTACGCTGTGTGCACTCCACTCATTCCATGTTTGGCACTGATCACCACCTGCACTCATGTATATATCATGTATATATCATGTATATATCTATCTACTTAGCACTTTTAATTCTTATTTTCATGTCTATTTAAGCGTTATATGACAGTATGTTTGCACTAAGTACCTAATGTTGTAAACCTGCTCAACATTTGGCAATAAAGCCCTTTCTGATTCTGATATAAGTATTGTACAAACTCAGTGAGAGTTCACACCAAAGCTTTTGTTAGTGATGATGTGATGGACCCGTCTATACACTCAAACCTCGGCTGTTTGATGACACGTTCACTCATTTCACCTTCATCATCCTGGTCGATGGCAGCGGATGTTTATCTAGACTGTCTCGTAGCGCCTTTCCTTCCTTCAGTTATATGAAGCAGCTGAATGTTAGAAACCAGCCCGATGGTCCTGCCCCCAAACTGCACTGCTGCCATGCTGTTTTTCTGTGCAGCATCCAGAGTTTGGTTACGTTATCATGTGATCAGGCTCCCAGTATTTCACAGGCTGGTCAGCAAACTAAACGCGCTCCATCAGTGATGGGGTGTTGTGAGCTCGTCTCTCTGCAGCTGCTCCTCGGCTCTCGCGGCGAGCACCTGATGGTGGCCAGTTCGTGGTGAAACAACAATGCTGAAGGTCTGTGGTCATTCGTGCTTACCCATCAGAGGCTTCATGTAGGACAGTTTAGTTGGGACTGAACCAGCTGATAAACAACGCTGACACTGTTTATGTGACACCTCTCTATCCTACCCGAGCAATCAAAGCTCTTTATACAACACTTCTCCTCCACGCTTCGCCTACACAAGTCGTGCACATGCATACTGAGGCAGCAGGGACCAACTCGGGACTAGCATCAAGCATGTGGGTGAGTGTTTGTTATACTCGAGTATTATTATACTGAGATCTTCTCTGACAGCGCTTTAACACACAACTCACCACATGTCCCCCACAGACTCTTCTTCATGCACGAGAACCACGTGAGCCCAAACGTTGTTTCCCATATTCAGAGTTCGTACGTCTGAATTCAGGATGCGGGCCAGAACGTGGCATCGATCAGAACCTGTGTTTTCACTGGGAACAGTAACCAACGCTACTTCCTTTAAACTTCTACACTTCATGGTGTGGGGATGAACAAAAGTATTTTACCAGCATAATATAATCTGCAGTATGATCATTGCTTTAACAAGGTAACAGACAGCTTTAAGATGGCCTTAAGATGTTTATGCATAGTTATATTAACCTTGTATTTCAGATGCAGTTATAATTATTTGATACACATTGCATATCTGTGCTTATTTTGAGTTGATGTTCTGTTCATTAAGGGTCTTAAGCTTCACTGGCGTGACTGTCAGATCTGTCAGCTTTAGCGCCTAAACAATTTCGACAAATTTAAGTTAACGGTCCAACCGATAAAGTCCAAATTTTCTGTGATCAATTAACCAGTATCTGTCCAACAGTTTCTGGCCTCATCTCTAAAGTCCCTAAATCAATTTAAGAGTGTCCAACACCCAAGGCCCAAACATGTCATGTTTAATGTAATGAGAGTCCACAGAGTGCTGTAAAATGTGAAGAACTGGGCAGTAAACACCTGAACATGGAAGCAACAATTCATTGTTTGGTGAGATTTTCTACAAAGATGCTGGGAGAGCGTCACAACTCAGAAAGTTAGATGTACAGTTTGTGAATTTTATTTTTTAAAAAAAAGAAAAAGTGGCAGCCAGAAACAATACAAAAGAGAAAACTGAGAATGTCAGAGCGGTCTGTGCAGAGTGCCAACACCGCTGTTACCATCGACACACTGCTCTCAAGCTGAGGAAAGGTGGAACTGAAGGGGTGTGGCCTAAAAGTCCAGTAAGAATCAGTCCAGCAACCGTCTACAAACAGCGTCCTTTCCAACGCCATGGTTACCGTTCAATGAAGGACAGGCTGAGTTTGCGTCTGTGTTAACTTCTCCCATGCAAAATAAACAGAACCCCAAAGAACCCAACGAGGTGTTGGGACAAACCTTCGTATGCTAACATACATTTTGTTGAGTGTATATGACAATGAAGCACCACGCCAATGCACTTGGAACTGAAAGCCACAAAAACCATTTAAATACTGTTAATGTTTGAACAAGTGATGTCTTTAAAATGTTGCTGCGGGAGCGTCAGACTATCGCTCAGACTCTGTATCTGTCCTCTACTAATGACAAAACAGGAACGGAGGGAAAGGCGTCTAACGCATCCTGTACTCCAGCGTCTTTGACATCTCACATAGCTGGCCCCTGAAGTCCACGTCGATGGTGAAGTCCAGGTCCCTCTGCAGAGACAGCAGCTCAGGTTACACAAAGACAAATGAATCGAAGCAAAGAGCGGCCGAGCCGTGCTTACATTGTTCTTGACATTTGGCTTCATGCTGACAGTGCCAATGATCTCCTCTCCAGTCTTCACAGTCAGGTAATCATCCAGGTAGAAGACGGTCTGCTTCCAGTGGGTGTAAGGAGACTCTGGGCCTGTCGGGAGACAGAGCGTTGGTAATCTACACCAGCCTTTATTTTAACCCGCCCCGTGTGTCATACAGTTCAGCTGACTGGCTCCAATCAGCTGACCACCTTTCGCCTGTTCACCTGTAGTCATGTGTCTGTAAAGCTAATTCTGGCTGCAGGCTGAGATGTGAGCTTCTCCTCCCGGATTCGTTGCTGTATAAATAAAACTGAATTTGTCAAAGCAGACACTAATGTCAGCTCACAGTGGTGAACAATCTGTACAACAGCAACGACCCACCGCCGTTTGCAGGAGGGTCAGTGCGTCCCCTCTGACAGAACATGAAATGTTTAGTATGTGGATGAAGTACGTGAACCCTGAGAACACCCAGAGCAACAATCCTGCCAACACTGTAAACTCATTCAGGTATGAGACCTGCTTTCATGCAGTGACTATCAGGGCAGTAGAAAGCATGCATACTGGGACACCAGTGTAAAGACAGCAGGCACACTGACTGGTAGAGAAGCCGATCCTCTTATGGCAGCGGGTGAACTCGATGTTGAAGTAGGTAACCAACGCGTGGATGTAGTCGTTCCTCTTCACCTGGAGGCAGAACGGGGACGTGAACGTCAGGTCTTCGGCCTTCACCGTGTAGATGTCCACCTCCTAGACAAAAAAGACAAGATGCCTTCAGACCAAATGTTTCAGGTCAGCTTCAGCCACCCTCTGCCTGTCCCACATTCATTCAAGGAGCAGAGAACGATCCACCTACCCTGACGAGACAGGAGTTGCTGACCAGCTGCTTGGGGTCCACCACA